CAACTAAACTGTTCTTAATTTATTCTTTACGCCAGCATTCAGAACATGGAGGCCAATCACTGTCCCCAAGACATCCACAGTTATATTTTTTTATATTTATATATTAGCGACTTTTTTCTGCTACTGGAGACTTTGGAGACACCATCTAAAAGCAGCGAACTCTGCTCTCCAGAGCGAGTAGATTGGTAACCCCGCCTCCTGCTCTCCTCTATCTTGTCTGCTGTCATGATTCATGCAGCTATTATTTCATCCAAATGAAAATAGCAGAAATCAGTCGGCTGTAGCCTAAATGCGCCATAAATCCAGTGGCGTCCATGTTTGAACCCTTCGCTCCGTTTTTCCTTTACAGACGCAGTGAGCAGGCGTCTCGCCCTCATTCCTGGCACTCCACGAAGCTCAGCGAAGGTCACCTGGACCTGGACCAGGGGATGGTGGACTCGGTGAGCTCCTCCTGGCACCAGAGCTACCCCAGCAGGTGGGTGGATGGAGGGGGAGGGATCTGCTCATTATTAGCTGTTCTGGACATTTATGCAAATTTTTTGTAATTTCTACCAATCCAGTTCTCTTCTTCTGGTAGCTACACTATACTTAAGTTAATTAAGAACCAAAATTTGTAATTTATTTTTATATTTGGAATTGTTTAGATAATGTGTCGGTAGATTGTTTGGTAAATGTCTGGTGTGGACGGGAGGTTTTGTAAAATTATTTTTTGACCAGTTTGTTTGAGCTTCAAATATTTAATTAAGATTATTTTTTGTTTCGACTAAGTTGCATATCTAGTCATATTTTATCATATTTTTTAGTAATTATTTTTTCTTTGCTTTTCTATGGAAGCCCATTTCTGCCACTCTGTAAAAAAAAGAAAAAAAAAAATCTCATTATAATGACAGTATCTCAATATAATGAGATTTTTTTTTTTTTTTTTTTTACAGTGGCAGAAACTGGCTTCCATACTTTTCACTATAAATAAGTCACATCAGAAATGCGTATAAAGCCAAACCCACCTGTTTCCACCCGCAGCCTTTATTGGAAATGTTGGTATTTGTTGGAACAAAAGGCAGCGATGTCGGCTTTTTTATAAATCACAGATCTGGAATAGACAGGATTCTGTCTGGTCTGTTTAACCAGCAGGAAATGCTGCTATCTGAAGGCTCATGGTGACCGACTTCAGTTCAAGCCTTTCAGCCATGATCGGTTTCAACCTTAAACACCGTTATTCTCAGCATCTACAGCAGTGCTTGAGTTATCGGTGCCTCCTTGGTGCCAAACAGCTGCCTCATCTGAAAGGATGATTAACGGCTGCTAACACTCGAAGCAGTTGTGCTGCAGCAGAGAGACGTCTAATACATGCAGATCTATGGTACTTTAGGACCGCTGATCCGCAGCGTCTAAAAAAGATGAAATCTTGATGCGAGTCAAAGAGGAACTTCTACGTCGGCTTTAGTAGTTTTGATCCAAGTTTCTGGGGGCCCCATTAAACTGTTTACATTAGGGATGCACGATATAATCGGCCCCCTATCGGTATCAGCCTTAAAACTGAATATCGGACATCGGCCACCCCACCGATATTTAACCCGATATTTGATCAGCTTCTGAGTTTCTAAAGTCTAAAAAAAAAATAAGAATACTACTTCTTCTTCTTCCTCAAAAACTTCTT